ATTTACAGTTTTAGGTATCGAAAGTCCAGATATTCCCACAGATGCATTGTATTTTTCTGGGAGCAAATCCAAATTATTTACATCATCAATCACTGTATTTGATCCCGTAGGTTCTGACTGTGTATCCTGAAACACAAGTCAAAGCCTGTAAACACTTAAAACAGTCATGCTATTGAACATTATCAAAAGGAAATAAAAAAGAATAACCTACACTTTTGAGCACTGAAGGTACTGATATTCCAACAGGTGTCTCGGACGTTTCTGGGGGTAAAGCCAAATTCTGTAACAACAGAACATTATTTTTTTATGAAATTACTGGCATCTATCTGCGAAGAACGAACTATTATAATTTTCTCTAACAATCATACAACCCTTAAAACCCTTAAAAAAGGATGCCAGAACATAATGATACACATACCCTACTTGGAACAGCTTTTTTGTTTAGTCTTGTAAAACCACCTATCGTCTCATAAAAATATTGCTCCTCAAAGTGAATTGAGCAAATTAGGCTTCTCTTCGATGGTTTCCATAAATCATCTAGCCGTGCTCTTCGAATTATTTTTGTCCATTCTGATTTCCTTACTACGTCTACTTGTCAAAGCTAAAATGTATACAGTCATATATTTTATTATGATATCTAAATTTGGTCCTCATTATTTATGGAGAAATAGTAAAAATAAATTTAATACATTATATTGAATTAATCAGGTTGTCACGGAATAAATTACACTAACAATTAATTAAAACAAAAAAGGTGGGTAAAATATTCCATTATTCTGTAGTAACGCTAACAAAATAAACGCGTGAATTTTTTATAAACAAATATAATTTAATATTAAAAAAAGCTGGGTAAAATATTCCGTTGATCTGTGGCAACACTTACAAAATGTAACCGTGATTTTTTTTGAAAATTATTATTTAATTAAAATGAATTGGAAATGTGCTACTTACACATGAAACGTGATCCCATGCACTTTCTTCGTAATCCCAGGAACATTCTTGCATGTTGGAACGGCACAAGACGGCATATTTTAATTATTAAGTGTCAATCTGACGGATATGTAAACAATGCGCGCGCTGGCCATTGACTAATTGCTCTAAAGTCAAACTAATGCGATTTGGAGTAGTTTATATGGATACACATTTACGCCCGTTGACGGTTTCTAGTTTGTTCCGTATTCTGAGTGTACTACGTAGTAATATTACTTCAATGGTTTTAGAGTGGTTTATAATTGTGATGCTGTGGTCTAGACTGGTCTGTTGTTAAGTTGTCCAGATGTTTGCGAGGGTTCTAGCGACGCTGATGTGGAGGCACTGGCTGGCCAGGAAAAGACAGTTCATATGTACACTGCTAGAACTTGTGTTTCCATTGCTATTTTTAGGTTTAATTTTCGCTATCAGGGAGGAACTTGATAAACCTTTAGATTCTGAAGTAATGGTAAAGCCGGTAAGTGTGACACTTTCAAGTTCTTCTATGAGGTTATTGCCCGTTTTCACCATCAATTCCTAATTTCTAAGTGACCCCTTTGAAAACATATGTGTTACCATAGGGGTCAGGGATCATGTTAGGGATTGATGGTGAAAACAGGCATAAGGCATATTTAAGGTAGGCGCATAAAGTTAATAAGCTGCAAACATTGAATTTTCGGATAGATCCAGTTTCTTCTGTAACCTTCATTTAAGCGCAAAATCCTAAACAGCTTCGCATCGAGTCGCTGGCGAAATGTTATTCCAGCTAAATAATACTCGCTGAAGAAACTCTTTTCTTTAAGTGTAGACACTGTATATGTATAAGTCCACTTTTGCATGCCGTGGCAACCTATAATTAAGGCAGCACTTAGATTAAGTTAAATACGTTGTAAATATTGATTGTCTTCCAGTGTATGTCTTGTTGGTTGTCCTATTAAATAAATAAAAAAAAATAAATAAATAAATAAATAAACCTTATTGGTACCGTTTGATAGAGCTTATGAAGCACTTTCAGGACCAGTAACTACTTTTTCGATATCTTGTATAGTTTAGAAATAATCGAGATCACTTATCGTTTTCAGCCTGTATATTACCATTTATTAATTTGCCCCAGGGCTCTTGGTTACCTAGCTATGCCACTGGCCTTTTGCGCTTCACAATCCTCTGTTGCCGGTTGCCTTGGAGTGCCAGCGTCGGCAGCCTTTTGACTGTCGGCAGCGTATCACGTGGTATTACCGCCGGTTCCCAATGGCCATATTTTTGGGAACCGGCGCCGGCAGCGGAGGCACTCCCTTTATTAATTGCTTTATTAGGGACCACTTTCTCTCAGAAGCACTTTGGGGCCGCCAGTTGTGCTCTACACTCCGAAGACGGTCTTCACCAGGAAGCTTATGAGTAGGGTTGGCAACAAACTGCACCTGCAAGAATTTTACACATTACCACCAGGTCAGAATATTCAATGATAAATAACAAACTTTTCTAGTAACTGTCATATGCCGTAGCGTTTCGCGTTATAAGGATTTTTTGGTAGGAATTATTCAATGTGGACTTGGTGATCATCATCATTATCAGGATTAGGGTATCCACTGTTAAAGGTACTTACGTAGCTTAAAAAATTTTTTTATGCTCTGTACCTTGGATTTGGGAGAGACATGAATTTAAGAGAGTTTTCTAATGTTGTCTGACACTCTTTTGTGAAGCTTTTAAGTTTTTTGTTAGATCACCTACCATATTGCAGATAAACGATCGAATGAAACACGGGGACGTTTTGGATTTAATGACGCCGTTACTGTGTTAAAATACACCGAGAACATGGGGCCAGATGAAGCTGTTGTAGTTTTTCATGTGAGTGTTTGTGAAATAATTTATTTCCACTTCTTACCTAAAACTTCGGTTTAGTGGCCAAGAGCTAGCTGATAAAAACAGACGAAGTAAGTCCTTATATCAGTAGTTCAATCCGCTGCCGCGCTGACAAGCGTAGCGCTAGAGTAAATTCGTGCCGACGATAGAGTTTTATAGAATGCTAATCTAAAAACTCACTGCAGATTTAGTTGCGATGTCTAGATGAAGGTTTTATAGAATCGCACTACAGGGACTCGTGGTGTTGGGTCTAAAGTAACATTTTATCATGATCATTGTCTTTCAAATTAAAATTCTTTATTGCTCCATGTTGGTATAGGTACAAAGGTTTTTACATAAGACCTTAGTTAATTCGGATTCGGATGAACTTTAACAACAGATTTAACTATGTTAAAAGGATTTTTTATTTACTGAATTGCGACCTTATTTCAGAATATGCCAAAACACGATACACCCAAAAGCCTAAATTATTCCATAAGAATGAAGACACCATTCAAGACGCATAAACGCTTTGTTGTGAGCAATAACAAGGGTATAATGCACTTAATTCCGCATTATCCGCATACCCAGTACGGTAAAGTATCTTATTATGTAAAATTGTAAGTAAGAAACCCCAAAAAAGTAGTCATGTAATAAATAACTGAACTGATGGGGCAGCAAGGTTCTGGAAGGGAGGCCACGTACCAGAAAGCGCAGCGTAGGACGTCCACCCACAAGGTGGACCAACGACCTCATAAAGGTAGCGGTAAGGCACTTGGATCATGGCCGCCACCAACCGGCCATTGTGGAAATCATTGAGGGAGGCCTATGTTGAGCAGTGGACGTCCTATGGCTGAATAATGATGATGATGATGAACGTATTCTTTTCCAGGAATAGACTGTCAGGCGTTCATGCGACTACAGTGGGCTATAGATCAAAGTTTCATAGAACTGCTGACTGGAAAAGAAGTGAAACAGGTAAGTAGTTGGGCTTTGCTTTTATTAGAACAGAAATAATTCCTAAAAGACAGAGATGAATGAAAAATTGCCTTGATCAGATATGACGGACCATTTTTTTCCCAACGAGTCACACTGGTACTGATCACAAACATTAAAATATCTTTATTATCAAGATAATTAAGAGCTTGTATTAAACTCGTAAAGAAAAAATGTACAAAATACATAGAAAATCAAAATAATGAAGTAATCTAAAGCTTACAGTAAGAAAATACACATTAACAAGAAGGGGTGTGACTGGATGGGACTTTTTTCCTACGAGTAACAGGGTTACACGTTTTGGTGTGACTTGTTGAGAACAAAGCGGCCTACCTTCAGGCTTCACCTTCTTCTGCTCATTCTCACCACTGTGCACTGGAACTCCTATAAAATAAAGGTTTTCTGGGATCAACAGCTTATTCGCCAATAAACTTATTAGTACAAAATAAATAAGCTATTTTTTATTTATTACAGAGTGTCATAATACACGAGTTTCCCCGCGGGAGACGCTCAAATAATCAAAATCTAGTTGACATGAAAGTAATCAAGGCATCATTTATTTTCTTCGCAATCTATGTGGGTCTGATACCTTCGTTTTACGTGTTCATGGGGCGTTTGATTGTTGAAAAAGCCACCGGTGTACAGGTACTTACTTTCACGTTTAACAGCTTTCTTATCAAAATATCATAAAGATCGGTCAATTTGAGAATTATCCGCTCACAGGATTAACCTAATATGTAGTTAGTTACTAACCGTGAGATCAAGGTCATGAAGGCTCAGTTTCAAATTAAAAATCTCTTTTGATCCAGTCGTTTTTATCCGTTTCCACCAAAGCGGAGCAAAGAAGGGTCGGACTGTCAATTTTTTCTATAAAATGGATGAGAATTGGAAATAATGAAAACTGATTTTTTGTAAATAATGAAAACTGATTGGTTTTTCAACGCTTTGGTGGAAACCGGGCCTGAAACCATACGTTCCGTATTTCTTTACACATCAAAACATTTTCATCAAATAGTACCTAACTACAACAATTTTCCAGAGCGTTGCCTTGCCTGTGTCGCAAGCAATTCCTAATCCTAATAGATATTTTGAACATCAGGAGCTCATGAAGATTGCGGGAGTGAGTACAAAAGCTCTGCTCATGTCGCACATCCTGAACGCGTTATTCCCGGGCCTGGTGTTCTCCATAGGAGGCACTGTCCTGATGAAACTTGGCCCTTCAGCATTACTAGAGAAGACCCCAGGATTATTCGTATTCTTATTTTTTCTTCTATATTTCCTCCTCATCATTTCTTCAGGCATGGCTTTTAGCTACATAGGATGTGTAGGTGAGATAATTTTTTTTTACCCTTTACTCTATACACTTTTTATTGCAAATTGAAGATTTGGCCATGGATGGAGGGATGTGCCTCCTCCATTTGCCCCTAGTAAGAGCAAGTCATGGTTCCTGCTCCTACAGTGAAGACTAAAAGACCTCAAAAAGATTAATTATTATATTCCTTACAGTACGAAGCCCGGCATACGCACTAATAGCATACTTTATTCTAACTACACCGGTTTTATTCACATTTGGTAAAGTTTTGGACAAAGCGGCGCTTTATATTTGTGGGGTGCTGATACCTTTTACGCCGATTATTTGGATCCTATTTGAAGTAACCCACCTCGAAGGGGGTGAGTTTTACGTCAAGGTCAACCTTTAGGTATATTATTTACCTATTTTATACTTTTCGAGGACTTTCTTCTTGTGTTGTCTGTCACAACATTCTCCATCATTGACTTCTGTGCTGTACTGACCTATAGCCAGCAGTTATTCCACTGAGTCCTTTGCAGAAAAGTTCACAAAATGTTCACAAAAGGCAACTCAACCAAAAATAGATTAGCATAAAATTATTCTGATTGCAGAGTCTGGACTGTCCTTCAGCAATATGTTCGACGCGCACACACCCTACTCGGGTTCTGCTCTGTTGGGGTTCATAATACAAATCATTCACATCGCCCTATTTTTCCTGATAAGTTGGTACCTTGAGCAGGTGACTGGTTCTTATGCTTTGCCATGGAATTTCCTCTGCCAGGTACATAAATTGAATTATTTGTGATGAAGTTTTTATATTTGTTACTTTTTAGGTATGTTCAGTGACTGTGTTAGACATTAAAAAGATAAAATTACTTTAAACCCTAATCCAAAACCAGCACGCGTGTATCACGGGTTGCGCCATCCGTTATGTTTTAATCAAAATAGGTAATTGTGTTCTGTATGTACAATTGTACATAGGTACCTATACATTTGTAGAAAGCATATTGGCGTAAAGCCTCTGTGGATCCGATGGATGAACTTGAAACGGAGGCTGTTCGGATCCAAGAGCCACAGTACTTCGAGCCGCCACCATCGAATCTCGAAAGTGGGATCAAAATAGTGAACGTCACAAAGGTACGTTGTTGGATCCTAAGCCTTTAGCAAGTCATGATCAGTATACTAATTTAAGTCTGATAATACCAGATGGTTTTGGAGAGCGAGATCATCAATTAAATCGTTCGTTCGGTCGTTTCAGCCAAATGCCGTCCACAGCTAGACAAAGGCCTCCTCCAAGGAATTCCATAACGACTAGCCCTGCACTTCCCGCATCCAGGCTCTTCCCGCTACCTTCACGTCTGTCTGACTAGAGGGAGGCCTGCCCACACTACGTCTTCCGGCCCGTGGTCGCCACTCGCGAACTTTTCTGCCCCAACGGCCATCGTCTCTACGAGCTATGTGCCCCGCCCACTGCCACTTGATTTTAGCAATTCTGCGAGCTGTGTCGGTCACTTTGGTTCTCCTGCGGATCTCCTCATTTCTAATTTGATCACTCAGGGGAACTCCGAGCATAGCCCGCTCTATCGCCCTTTGGGTGACTTTGAGCCTTCTTATGAGGCCCGTGGTAAGCAACCACGATTCAGATTAAATCACTCCAAGCTTAATTTTACAGATGTATGGCCCAAACCGCGTGGTAGACGACCTGTCTCTGGAAGTTTATAAGGGCGAGATCACCATCCTGCTGGGACATAACGGCGCTGGGAAGAGCACTCTTATGTCCATAATCACTGGTGGGATCACTTTGAAGGTTTTATTTTATACTAGCTTTCCGCCCGCGGCTTCGCCCGCGTGGAATTTTGTCTGTCACAGAAAAACTTTATCGCGCGCGTCCCTGTTTTTAAAAACCGGGATACAAACTATCCTATGTTCTTTCCCGGGACTCAAACTATCTCTATGCCAAATTTCATCAAAATCGGTTGCGAGGTTTAAGCGGGAAAGCGTAACAGACAGACAGACAGACAGAGTTACTTTCGCATTTATAATATTAGTTGGGATTTAAGTACAACATGTTTAAGTTTTTGCTTTGTCTGACTTACTGTTGTGTTTTGATTTTCTTGGCAACTTGAGTTGCGAAAAATTTAAATCCCCTTTTTTAAACCTCATCAAAAAGATTTATCTTTATCGATATAGACCTGTAATTTATTACATTTCATACCTCAGGCATTGACTGAGTTAAGCACTGGTAGGCGTAATGAAGAGCGTCAAATTTAGAGCTGCCCTAAGCCATTTGCTGAACAATTACCACGTATAAGCGCCGTAGTACGGCTACCTATAAAATACACAATGTAAGGTCATCTTCTTCCAGGTGTACTAAAACCCACCAAGGGTCAGGTGCTAGTAAACGGATACAATATTGAGTCCCACGCTATGGAAGCGCGGCAACAAATCGGCATGTGCCCGCAACAGAATTTGTTTCTGGACGGCGTGTCCGTGATCGAGCACGTGATGTTCTTTACCTTGGTGAGTACTGCAATATTAGAGATAAGAACAAAATTAGTGACTCCAATAACTATTTTGATCATTTGATATAGCTGAAAAAAGGTACTTACCGTGAAGCCCGCATATCGGCAGAAAAACTTTTGGAAAAACTTAACTTACAACAAAAGGCAAACAGTCAGAGTTCTGACTTATCTGGAGGCATGAAGAGGCGACTTCAGCTGGCATGTGCCTTAGCAGGGCAAGCTAATGTTTTGATACTGGACGAGCCCACGTCGGGTCTTGATGTGGAGACCAGGCGTTCACTGTGGGACATCTTTATGGTGAGTTAAAATAAGTAATATCTGAAATGTGTCTGATATAAGCAAAATCAGATTTTTTGAATTCGTGACGAAATGCGAATGGACGGTCTGCTTCCGACCCTTATTATCCTCAGTCTCTGCGAGGGTCCCACACAGTGCTGCTGTCGACTCACTTCATGGAGGAAGCTGACGCTTTAGGAGACCGCGTGGCGGCGCTGCACGCCGGCCAGCTGCGGTGCCACGCCACGCCCATGTACCTCAAGAGAGCCATAGGTAAGTGCTACCACAGAATGATAATTTGTATCTACTTTTGTATACTACGCTTCAATTGTATGCCTAAGCGAATGGGTGCACCGACCAGAACAGAAATGAGCTGATATGCACACTGAAGAATTTGATGTCATTCAAACATTCCTCATCTAAAAAGTACCTACCTATATTCTCATTGCTGAATAACGTGAGAGGTAGAGGAGCGTGTTTCATTATTGCAAGCTTGCGTAGTAACGATTGTCAGATTCTTCTCCTACATACCTTTAGCAATGTGAACAGGGCAAAAATTGCTCAACATAAATATTATTTCCCTTCTCATTGCTGCTTTCAATTAATAAACATTTAGGTACCGGCTACCGCCTGACCTTCACCACGACTGGCAGCCCCAAGGAAGCAGCAATCACCAGTGTCGTCCAGTCAGTGGTCCCCGAAGCCACTGCCACTGGAAGCGGGTTTAACTCCATCTCCTACAAGATTCCTATGGCGTCTACCAAAAGCTTGCCCGGTCTCTTCTCCAAACTGGAGTCCAAGAAGACCGAACTGGGTATAGAATCAATGGGAGTTGGTGTGTCAACGCTTGAAGAAGTGTTTTTAAAGTGAGATTTTTTCTCTGTACTAATTTTAACGAATGATGACTTCATTCGTTCGTTGCAGCCAAATGACACATCCACTTCTGGACAAATGTCTCCCCCAAAGATTTCAAATAAAATCCACAACGACCTGCGCAGGATATGACTTCACACAAACATAATTTGTTTTTACAGATTATGCAGTGGTTATGATGGAAGTCCACTTACTGATGTTGAAGAGGAAGAAGGTGTGTCTATTACAAAGTTTAATTTGGTGTTCACAGCAAGTGCTGCTCATTCAGAATAATATCATGAGAGACAGTTTTTATAATCATTTTTAGAAATAAACTTTTTATTTCAGGTCCTGTCTACCAAAAGCAAACTGGAGCCGCTTTGTACAGCAGGCAATTTCTGGTTTTAATAAAACGTTATTTCAGGTTCCTATGGGTTTATAAATACAGTCAAATACTATTTGTAAGTCAATTTACCACCAATGCATTTTGTAGCTTGCAGTTGTTAAAGTGGGATTTTTACTAATGAAATAAAGCATATTTTTCATTACAGGGAACATTCTTCATGTTTCTATTAATATTAACAACAACATTTGGCTACAACAACACTGCCACGCCCAAAACGAACAAAACTTTTCTCGCTGTGAACCTGGACATTTACAGGCCGTTGCTAAACCACAGAATCCTGTACAAAGTAAACAATGATTCTCGTATGAGGCTGCTAAGTGATTTGTACCCGAGGGTAACCTTTGAGAATGTTTCGGACTTAGAGGAAGGTAAGGACACCAAGGGTACAAGGGTATAGTCTATCAGATACGATAAGACGTTAGCTGAAACGCAAATAAACTAAGTAGGGTATTTCTCATCGCCACGGTTCTCATCGTCACCTTCGTGGCGAATTTTATTTCTAACTTATTTGAACTTTTTTTAAACAAAAATTGTAGCGCTTGATGTGAAGATTATATTCTCAGTAAATCAGTCAAATAGTGAGTCTCGTTTGGAAGCTTTAACGTTTTGAATTTTTTGATGCCACGAAAGTGATTCTGTACTTCACAGCAATAATTTTTTCAAACTTTACTACTGTAAATGACTCTTAAGTGTTTATAAAACATATATTTTGTCTTATTTTCATAGATAAATAGCAATAACATAATATAAATAGGTACCTACTTAATTACAAGATAAAATTTTACCGATTAAGTCACCTACTAAGTTACAAGATTCTACACAATTGGTTTTAAGGGTGACACTGGTGGCATTCTGAAATGCTAACGAAGTAAAAAACGGATTATCAGTACCTCAATAAAAAAGAACTCTGATTATCAGTCCCTCAACAAAAATATATTTTTTATTTAGGCCAGAGGGCCTCGTATTTTTGTTGTACAACTTTTAACTCGAACTTCAGATTAAATTTATCTTACAAACAGATACACAGTCACATATACAGACATACATACAGTCATACAGACAGACAACAAAAATACGAGGCCCTTATTTATTTATTGATGTACTAATCTCTACTTACCACGTATAATTTATTAGTTATTAAAATATTGTAAAAACATAAACACCAGTCACTATATTTTAAAATAAACCTAATCTATATTCTACCTTCAGTCACTATTATCTAAGACATGCAGTTGATATGCTGGATTCCTGGCTTGAATTAAATTCTTATATATTAGCACAAAAATTTAATTGAATGTAGTTCAATTAAGTTTTTGTGTTTTTTAATTTAGTCGATACTACGCTTCCACGCAATCTATGCACATGTCGTGGCAGCTTTTAATTAAGGCTACACTATAAACATGTATTGTTTTCAATGTTTTTTTTCCTGTTAATTGTGTATGTCTTGTTAGCTGTCCTTAAATAAATAAATAAATAAATAAAGAAATCACTTTCGTGGCCTAAAATCACCTTCGTGTATAAAATACCACGAAGGTGATGCCACGAAGGTGACGAAAATTTTAGTTTTTTATGAATTATCCTTAAATTTTAATTTAACGGTTCAAGTCGAATACTACACAAATAAGTCTAACATGTTAAGTATTCAATGGCAAAGTTTCAATTAAATTGTTTAAATTTTAGAGGTAGAAAATATTGTTCAAGCAAGCGACGGTATGTCTATGGATAATCACAAAAAGTTACGTACTTTTTTCGCGAAGCGACGATCGACCTATCTCACCTCCCCAATGGTCGAAGCGCGACTGACGTTAACGGAATAGAACCCTGTGATTGGTTGCTGGTGTTCGGTTTAACGGCAATCTTGTATTATTACTCAAAATTTTGGGTACCTAAAATCGTGTGACCAACGTATTTCGCTTTCTCAATTCAAAATAATTATAAGAAGATATTTTTTTGATTATTGTGTGGAAAGTATATTTAATTACGATGATTTTAGTATATGCTACACACAAATTGAATGAAAATTGTGAATGCAGTAACCAAATGTTTCATTGCAACCGAAGGTGTGACACGATGAGAACGCGAAAAATGACCCCGTTTTTTATCGTTTTATGTGATTTTTTCATATTATTTTTGCTTCTATTACGATAAAATGTATTTTGTATGTAGCTAAATAGATATTTTATCATCTGATTTCAAAGTTATTGTTCTAACTTATACCGTTTATGAACTATTATTGTGTGACCATCAAATTTGAGTGTAAATGAGAAGTACCCAGTACTTTTAAATATTCTCACAATCTTCCATGACATTTTTTGCAGCTGTGTTACGTGCTGGGCAAAAAGATACAATGAAACATAGCAGTTATTTAGCAGGGATCGAACTGAACGAAACTGATGCCAAGGTACCTATCTATTTACCACTAAGTTTCATTTTAGATTTTATCCACACTGTAAAAACGTCATTCGTTGGAAAACAACAGACGGCATATCTACTGAACTTGCACTAACTCAAGCGAGTCGATTGGCATTACATAAATCATACACTATTCCTTTTCAACTTGCCTGAGGTCGTGTCAAGTCTGGCGATAAAATAAGAAGAAAGATTTGTGAAGGGATCTCCAGAGATAAACTGCATGACATCATTTTATAGAGTAATTTCATGTGTGCCTTGATGTTCGCTGAATTTCAGCTTCTATTTTAAATTAAAGGTACTGTGTACTACGGAGATACGTCACACGGCGCCAGCGACTCTCAATCTATTGTCAAATATGATAGCAACGCGCGCTTTGCCCCAAGCCGAAGGGCGCGTGGTCACCACCTATAACCATCCCCTAACTGGTGCCTACATTCCTTTTGCCAATGAAGATTTCAAAATGCCAAAAAATAACATGGCTTTAATATTATGGCAAAAAATGATTATTTTGTGTGAGTAATTTTCTGCTGACCATAATTTTATTCCATTTCATTTGCAGCAAGTTTCACTTTTGTTTGTACTTGAATTTTTGAAGTAGGTAAAAAGGGTGACTTTACAATCACTCAAACTAGATATTTTGTCTATGTGGTCCATCCAGTCGTGCTAAATTCCTAAATCCTTTGTGGTTGATTGAGGATTTTGCATGTACTTAGCTCGCCTTTACGTGCATTTACTTTCGGCCAGATCATCTTTTCATGAGGTGAGGAGATGCAAGGATAAGAGCTTACTCATAGTGGACATACTTCGTCAATGATGATTAATAAATCCGAATAAGACACAGATCACAGAAACTAAAGGGAGATGTGACAAGGGGGCGGGGCCGGTGTCGCAGCAATATGCCCAAAAACAGACACATTGCTCGTGAAAGCAATGATGACAGCAGCGACGTCATAATGCAAACAGTTTACATTTCTTGCATAGTACTAAAGATTATTCGAACGTTGAATACTGATAGCGCAGTGGATAATGATCACAATTTTTATTTCTTTGTGTGTGTGAATTTCTAACGCGACACTGAGTTTCGAACTCGGCGCATTACTTAGTTGGCATCTATATCTATGGTAAGTAGACCAATCTGAAATTGCAATTGTTTTTCTTATTCCAGACGTTTTAACAGGCTTATGTTTTCTATTAATATTGCCATGTAAAGAACAAGATAGCGGGGCCCGTCTCACCCATATACTAGCTGGCTGCCCGCCCGAGTTGCACTGGGCTGCTATGCTGTTCACAGCGCTTCTACACATCCTTCTGTATGTAATTGTCATTGTCATCGCTTGCGCATTCTTGGACTTCGACAAAACAATATCGGACATCAAGTTTATACGTTAGTATTTTGATTAAAAACGTTAATATGATGTTCATATAGCAACGTTGTTCTTCAAGTGCTATTTTAAAGTCTAAAGTGCTTGAGTGGTTGCCATTTTGGTTGAAAAACTAAAAACTTTCATGTAGGTACCTACTATGTGTACTTATTAAACAAAATAAACTTTAGGTCTAGCACTTTTTTATGTCAGTGCCAGAGGTATGGGAGCGACACGGGTAGGTCCCGTCACGTGTTTTTGTGACGTCAAACGTCAGCGAGACTTCAGATCTCCTTCAAATTTAAGCTCTGTCATCATTTCAGCCATAGGACGTCCACTGCTGAACATAGGCCTCCCCCAATACTTTCCATGTTGATCGATTGGTAGCGGCCTGCGTCCAACGCTTCCCTGCTACCTGCCGCTCCCATTCCTCAGGCACTGACTGAAATTAATTCAAATTATTTTATTGCGTGTCACAGTAAGGCCTATAGTTTTTTTCAGAATCAGAATCAGAATCATCATTTATTTGCTATAAATCTTTCTTCTTTTTTTTCTTTCTTTTTTTAGTCCCTGCTTCTTTGGTTGTACTACTTGGTAGTTTAGCGAGTCTTGTATATCTATATGACTTTACATTGACGTCCTCCGAACGTATGACTTTAGTGATCGCAGCAATTCTGGCGGTCATTGGCGGTAAGTCAACTTTTCCTATAACTAAATACTTACAGGGTATTTCTGATTTGTAGATCTGATTTCTTAATTTTACCCCAAGAACCTTAGTAAGAAAACCGGGAAGTGGGTCAATTTTAAGTTGCAAGATTTGCCTACACCAGACATGTGAAAGTAATAAAAAGCTTGTAACTTAGCTTAATGACGTTCCTTGAGGAAAGCAAGTACCTAGCAGTGGACTGCCATTGTTTGCAATGATAAGGCAGTAAGAACTTCACTCATTACTTGTTTCAGTGTTTGTCATCCCCTTGCTTTGTGCGAGGTGGTTTAAATCTCCGCGTATAGTTTTGATATTTGAGATTATTCTTCCTCAATTCGCGTTCACACAGGCTTTGGCCGACTGTACAAACACAGCTTATGTGAATGCTCTTTGCAAATTGAACAAGGACAAATGCCCTTTCACTGATGTCCTAAGTCCACACTTCAAAGACGGCAAGTGCTGTGGTAAGCAAAGACTTTTATACATTTACGAGCTTTATTTATAGTACTACCGGCCGCCCGCGACTTCGTACGCGTGGATCCCGTTTTACCCCCTTGGAGGTAGAATTTCGCAAAATCCCGAGTTAGCGAGAAAAAAAATGGGAGTTCCCCACATGCAAAATTTGAGACTCCTAGCATTTGTAGTTTCTGAGATTTCGTGATGAGTGAGTGAGTGAGTCAGTCAGCCAGTCAGTTGATTTTAATATCTTATAGCTCTTATTTCTTTAGTGTTCTTTTGATTAAGTTCTTTATATTTTCAGAATCTAAGTCCGATCCGTTGTGCTACTTTTGTCTCAATAATCATGCTCCCGGTAGGGAGATACTGATTTTAATTGGTCAAATATTTTTATTTTCTGTAAGTACTTACGTTATACAGTGTTTTCATTTTTAACTACTTACTAATAGTGCATATAAATGACGCTAACACCTACCGCGATGTAATAAGGTAACAGCGCCATCTATCGGTAGCTGTCAAAACAAAATTTATACTCAGTTTGTGCCGAAGTCGTATTTCACTGTAAGTTTTATTAAAGTTTCCTATAGGTAGTTTAGGCTGAAACTTGAATGTATTTTAGTTATGCATTGTAGGCAAATGTGATGTTACGTCAACGAGGCGTGCATAGCTTCTTGATGGATAAGATTTTGAATATACCACTCAAGGCTCCACCACAACAATTTGATGAGAAGACCGTTAAAGCGGAAGAGGTGTATGTCAAGAATACTATTGTATTGCGTAAGTCAGCTGAGTTATTTTTGATTTTCTACTTGAACAAATTAATTATCTTTGTAAGTACTATGATAATGCAAATATCGGAATTTTTACTTTGACTTTGCCTCGGTGGGACTGAAGCCAAGACCTTTCGCTTGCTAAGCGACAGTTTTAACCATAGAATTACCTACTGAGACATGGGTAAACCAATCGTTAATGTTTATTACGTTACACAGTAAAGAGAGGTCATTTACATCAATACAACAAAGTAATATTAAACATTCGACCAATATTTTCCACAAGGTGGACCGACGACATCATAAAGGTGGCAGGGAAGCGCTGGACGCAGGTCGCTACCAATCGATCAACATGGAAAACATTGGGGGAGGCCTATGTTCAGCAGTGGACGTCCTATGGCTGAAATGATGATGATGATGATGATGACCAATCTTTTTGTTGCAGCACCGAAAGAGATCACAGATATGATGCTGGTGTCTAACGTACACAAGAACTACGTAGACCTCTGCACTAATTTCTACGCGGTAAAGGGCATCAGCTTCTCTGTCAAGAAAGGTTTTTGGAAACTCTTCTTTTATCTGTAAACTAAGATTTTAGCTGAATTTAATCCAAAATTCAGTGATTAAAGATGTTTCACCCTATTTATAGTGCTATAGTTAGCAGAATTTACTAGATTCGTTGTAGGTTGTTTTCTGAAGGTAGGTACTCGTAGTAGAGCGCGAGCGAATAAACGGTAGCAGAAACAACCTACTCAGTTATGGGCTATATCATCATCATCATTGTCATTAGGAGTCTCTCACAACCATCTTTCTGTGAATCACCAGAGCCACTTGCCTCTACGTGGAGGACTTTTCCCCGCGCTCTCCAAAGTTATTAGGGAGGTCTGATGTTGGCATTTTTTCTCTTAGCGCCATACCTGTATAGTCTGGTCCGTGAGCACGTAGAATTTTCGCACACTCACTGCGGGTGCCAGTCGCACAGTCACGACAGCAATATAATTACGCGCGACCGTTAAGGATGGGTAGCTAGGGGTCATTGGACAAAATTCTACGTGCTCACGGACCGGGCTTTAGAAATTAGAATACTACGTTGACGTGGCGTTAAAGGAGGATGATTTATTTCTTGGCAGGTGAATGTTTCGGTCTTCTTGGCGTGAACGGCGCGGGCAAGACCAGTATGTTCCGGATGCTCACTGCTGACCGGTGTGTTACTAAGGGACAAATCTTCGCTAATGGACGGTTTTTAACACTTCCGTGTTTCGATAAGGTGAAGGCTAACTATTTACATGATCGAACTAACAATAAATTCAGTTCATAATCTATACAGGATATCCCAAAAAGAAGTGTTAAGCTGAAGCCCAGAGGTAGAGCATCACTAGGGCTACCCAAATCATCTTTTGATATTTTTCGAGTTATGTTTTTTTACAGGATTTTAGTTTACATTCGTGTTATAGATGTAAATACTTCTGAATCAGCTAGGCCTAGTATTCATCTAATGATAATAAAAAAATCAGGCATGTAACTTGACTATTTGCGCCACAGTAACCAAAAAAGTGCCTAAGCACCAAAACTTAAAACAATCATAACACGAAAACTATCAAAAATCGCGGAACATACATGGGGGTGATTTGAATAGCCCTAGTGATGATCTACCTCAGGGCTTCAGTTTGACAGTACTTTTTGGTACAACCTGTATACTCTTGCCTCCTACTTGTGCAGTACCTATTCTCCCTGAGCTACTGCCCCCAATTCTGGGGCCTGGACGACTTCCTGACCGGCAGACAGAACCTGGACCTCCTGCTCACGCTGCAGGGGTTCAACGAGCGCGATATGAACGCACAAACCAAGACCTGGATCAAACTTGTTGGTTGGTTGTTGTTTAGGGTAGTTTGATGTCATCATCATCATTTCAGCCATAGGACGTCCACTCTGCTGAACATAGGCTTCCCCAAATGCTTTCCACATTGATCGATTGGTAGCGGCCTGCATCCAGCGCTTCCCTGCTACCTTTACGATGTCGTCGGTCCACCTTGTAGGTGGACGTCCCACGCTGCGTTAGTTTGATGACCTGATGTTATAGGAGCCATTGAATTCGCACTGCTAGGAGGAACCGATCTAGCTAGATGCTGCCGATCGCGATCTTTGATGTCGTATCTGTCGCGTCCAAGTATTTCGTGCCCGGTGTTTTTGCAGTTGTGAATCAATATTTTATTTGTGCTACAATATTTTATTTGTGCTACAATATTTAGCACTGCTTTAAATAATAATGAGAACTGTACAGCATGAAAACTGTTTACAAACGTGCCCGGGATAAGTCTCGATGACTATACCTACTAATAATATAGTAGAGACAAAGTTTAATTGGGTGTAATTCATAAGTTCATGACCCATTATCACCGTTTTGTAGCGTTTAAACCTCACGTTTCCGAATAGGCCTGGAAAAGTACACGGACCAGCTGGTATCAGGCTACAGCGGCGGCTGCCTGCGGCGGCTGGCGGCGGCGTGCGCGCTGTGCACGGGCGCGCCGCTCACGCTGCTGGACGAGCCCACGGCCGGCGTCGACGTGGCCGCGCGCCGCCGCGTGTGGTACGCGCTCAAGCGCGGCCTGCGGGACCAGCACGCCATTATCATCACCTCGCACAGGTACCGACTCCGAGACTATATACAACAAGTACAGCTGGACGTCCGCTGGAGATCCGTAAACGAATTAAAGTCGATGACATAGCTCAATGGATTAGCAAGCTTAAGTGGCAATGTGTGCGCAGAACTGACAGCCGATGGGGCAGCAAGGTTCTGAAGTGGAGGCCTCGTACCGGAAAGCGCAGCGTAGGACGTCCACCCACATGGTAAATCGATGACGACGACCTCATAAAGGTAGCAGGAAGGCGCTGGAGGCAGGCCGCCACCAACCGGCCATTGTGGAAATCATTGGGGGAGGCCTATGTTCAGCAGAGAATGTCCTATGGCTGAAATTATGATGATGAGCGCGCTATGATCGTTACCTCGCACAGGCCAATGTTCTTTTCAAGCCGCGTGCCTCGCGAGCGCCTGGTGTGACCATAGCTTTAGAAGATAGACAGGATAGGAAACTACCTAGACCAACAAGTGCAGCAACTTATAAGTATAAAAATTGTCATCATTAGGTCATTTAGTCTCCACTCCTGGAGATCGTCTATAATTTACCAAAGGCAAACGAAAAATTTGGTTTGGCTCCCCACGTTGGACAAACAGGCCAGGTCGCCTTTTACGACATTTACGAAGAAACCACACAGCAGAAGTGAGGGAGATATAGCTGCAGTAAATTGCGTTGAATAAACAACGCCGTAACGTGAGCGTTGCGTGGCATAGGCTATGGGCACGATGGGCACGAGAGTGCAGTGCTCTGCATTGCTGTGTTGCGTGAACCATTGAGGCAATAGGCTTTTCCTATTGTCAAGTTATATACCTTCACTTTTATTTAAATTTTAAATTGCAGTTTGGACGAAATGGAAGCGCTGTGCCACCGCATTGCTATAATGGTGGCTGGGCAGCTGTGTGCGCTTGGCTCGCCGGCTGCCTTGAAGGCCGCTTTCGCAGTGGGACACTCCGTCATCTTGAAGATCAAACATGGTAATTTCCCTACATCTTTGTTCTTACTAGCCAACACACCTTAACTTCGAACTCCTCCTATGTTCTTCTGATTAATTTCGTTGCGGGTCCAATGACAGCTTAACTCAATTTCCCCGGGACAAACTTGACCTTTACTGGTTGTGTTTTCATTGGCGGTCAACGCGAACGCGTGGGAACGAGAGATGGGAATAGTCCCGTTTAGCCAACACAGCACATAAAAAATTGTTGGCTATTTTGCTAATAAAATAGGAAAGGTAGTTTAGTTTCGAAGTCCTCGTATTTCTCACTGATTAATATATCGTTGAGGGTCCAATAATAGCTATTTTTGTAACCTTAACTGGGTAGGTTTTATTGGTCTTCAAAGCTCTAAATTCTGACTACGACTACTGATCAAATGTAATGGCTGACTTTCCAATTCCAGAATCAGATGAATCTGCTGGATCACAAGTAGATCAACTAAAAGCCTTCATGCAACAGAAGTTCAACTGTACACTCAAAGATGAGCATAAGGTAAAAGTTTACTTATTTAGAAAACTAAATAATATTAGGTAATTGATCATGGAATAGACGAGCCCAAAATTAATTTTGTTTCTGACACTCGTATTAATTCCGCAGACAATGCTGAACTACCACATAAATGAGACGATGGAGTACAGCAGACTGTTCCAAGACATGGAGCAGGTACAAAGTACGTTCCCTTCGCTGATTGAGGACTACTCAGTATCAGAAACCACCCTCGAAGAAGTTTTTCTGTCATTTGCTAAGCGTCAGGAAGAGATGACAAAAGTCCAAGGCAAAAACAAAGCAACATCTGAAAAAGAAGGAAAAGCAGAAACAAAAAACAACGCACCTGATACCAAGAAGAATGATGAAGGTGGACCCGTGTAATGGAATTATCATCGTAACCTAACGTGAGGTTTTAGACAGTGAGACAAGTCTTATGCTTGGAATTGAATGGGAATGACTGTGAGTCCATTCCACGTTAGTGAAAACGCAGATAGTTTTTTGTTATGTCCTAGTCAGATATGAAAGTTAAACTGTACATGCTAATTATGTTTAAACACTGAAGATTTGTTTTGTTATCTGTAACATTCTTTAAATAAACTTGCGAAATCTGTTTGTGATATTTATTCCAACAATAAGACCATTCAGTACCATTACGACTAGGTCTTCCAGATAACGTCATAATAACAGCTCTCAGCAGCTTTAGGGCCTGCGCTAAAACTGCACGCCCGCAGCACCTGGGCACCCGTGTACTAATTTTCGATACACAAACGCGTGCGGGCGATGCAGTCATACGGTGCGATTTTAGCGGCCTTAGGCCATACGGCAGAGAGCCCAGGCACGCCCAGGTGTGATTGTTTAGAGTCAGGTTTCACCATTCATCCCGCGCCTTGCACACCCAAAAGCTCACATCTCCGCTATGCACAGCTCGCATCTCCTCTCCTCTTGTCTCCGCTTTGGTGGAAATAACCTGCCAGCTTCGCCGCACATCTCTCCTCTCCTCCGCTTTGGGCGAAACCGGGCGCATACCACGGTCGCATTGTATTTCTTTCAGCTAGCAAATTAATTCTTCTTCATAACATGACATCAAGAAGGATTAATAAAAAGAAGATACACTATTGTGACATGTGGCATAGCCTTTATGACTTATCTTTTCTGTCAGATGTCAATATAAATACCTTGCGTTATTGGAATAATTTCTTGCTGCTAATATTTCTACGAAATGGCTCGCAAGGGACAGGTTTCTATTCAGGATACTATTGAAAATGACGAGGAGTTTGATGCGTACCTTCAAGCCCACTTCCACCAATTGATTTGTAAGTTAAATGTACCTCTCCCAATGATGAGGGCAGCATTAGGGGCAGCATAATATCGTTGTGGAAATCCCTTCAGGGGAGGGCTTTGTTCAGCAGTGGACGTTCTTTGGACCAACAAATGAGTCGAGACTTGATAATTAACTCAATTAATGATCTTAGAGAAAAGCGTTCGTAATATTTGTACAGAAAGCGTTCTTAGCACCTTTAAAGCGCTAGCAGTATACCTACTTGTGACTCCAATTCGCGCTCTATTTGTATCAGTAGGTCACACTACGACGAACTAAGACTTTGAAAAAAAACTAGAAATGGGTTTTTATTTGGAGTAGCGTTACGGTCACTAACATCCTCTACAGGTATGGAAGTATACTCGGATTTCTGCGGGCCCTGCCTGGCTGCCGGCAATGCTATAAGGAAAGGCAAGCTGGAAATTGGGCAAGATCGTATTGCTATGGCAAAGGTAAGGGGTATGTCTCATACTGTAATTAATTTGAGATGATTATTTATACTTTTATTATATTGCAGGCCTTAGCAGACAACATTCAAGCACTAGCAAGGTTTAAGGACAAAAGTGAACCCGTGTTTCTTTTTATTTTTGTAAGTTTTTTTCAATTTTAATAAATGCAAAAGGTTCACTTCAAGTTTTATCAGTACAATCCCATTATACATGCTTGAATTTCGATTGCCTTTGCTCAGAAAGGTAAGCTGACGCGCGCAATGTTCGGCGCGAACGGTATCGAGCTGTGCCGGATCATGGAAGAGGAGCTGGGCCACATGCAGCGCGAGGTCGACACTGGTATGGAGCGGCCCAAGCGGGATATAGAAGCCATGCTGCCTGAGGAAGCTGTGAGTATTATAAACAAGTCCACAAGAAATTATCATTACGTTTATTCCATTTATCTTTATCACTGTTGGTGGCGGTAGAGCACTACCAAAACGCACTACAAAATATGATTTGCCAGATATTTTTCGTTGATGGCTGGCGTATGTGTGACTACGTTCCAATTTATCTTTACTACTGCTGCAGAGTATAAGACAGGTGTGAAAAATAATATAGGTAGGTACTGTTAAATCAGTCTTTCCCAAAGTGGGCGATAACGCCCCCTTGTGGGCGCTGCAGGCTTAAAGGGGGGCGGTAAGAGACCCCGGAAAAAAATCGGGGCATTGTGTAGAGGCTTCGTAGGCCATTTGTAATTTCATCTACTTAGGAGGTCTCTTAGACACCGACTGAGCATTTGACTTTTGAAAAATTTAATGGGGGCGCTCAAAAGAATTTATTCTCAAAGTGGGCAGTAGACAAAATAAGTTTGGGAACCGCTGTGTTAAATTGACAAGCTAACTATGACCAGAATGTTGTCCAAGTTATCATAGCCGCTGGTGTGTTCCTTCCATGAGTCGTGTTTTTTTTTTCGATAAATAAATTCAAAGTTCATTCCAGCAAGTAAATCATCATGCCAGTATCTTTTTTATTTCTTACAACAGAAAAAGCTAGAAGACGACTTGCGCTTAGAAGAAGAATCCCGCGAAGCCACCGAGCGTCTCCGAGTGTTGACATTAGCCGCGCGCAAGCGCCGCGTCTGCGACCGCATGTCGCGGCACACCAAGCGGCTCAACTTCATCTTGTTCTGGCCGCACTGCCACCACGCGCACTTCGACTTGTACGAGAAGTGGGATTTGATCAGTTAGTTTGTATTGAATTGCATCCCTCTTTTAGGCCCTGTTTTCACCAAAGTGGAGAGTGTGGAGAGTGCGGTAAAACTGGCAGTTTATTTCCACCAAAGCGGAGCGGAGATGAAACGAACAGCGAGGAGACGAGACAAGAGGAGTGAACTGTGCATAAGCTGTCAGCTGTCAGTTTATAGTCACACGATTTGGGTGTGCAAGGCGCGGAGAAAAGGCAGAGCAGGAAACGAGGCGAGGTCAGCTTATTTCGGAGCTGTCATTTGGCTGAAACGAACGAATGTTCTTCAAAATCAAGTGTAAACTTAACACTGGTTATTTTCATCTCTCAGATATATCGGTGGGGGCCAAAGAGACGATCCAGCTGACAGAAGCTGGTGCTAAGGAGGCCTTATACATGAGCGATGTGGACCCGAACGAGGCCTGTCTCCACGCGCTCCTGAAGGACGAGGCGCTGGTGGTCTTGTTCAAGATGATGGACACGGATAACAGGGACTTTGTTAGTTAGTAGTCATCGTCAGTTGTCACTTGTCAGTAAGTCTACAAACTCTCTAATTCTGAACCTCTGAAGTTATGTCATGAATGGGAGAAAAATACGGATGGGACAATGATTTGAAATCATTTATGGAGTTAGGCTTGGTTTAAAAATTCAAATCCTGAAGCTAAAGCTTCGAGTAATAAACCACCATTTCTGAATATGAATGAACATAAGGGTAGATACTAAAAAGTACTTTTAAGACTAGACTTCAAGATCTTTAATCTACGGGACTATTTTCACCTCTCGTTTCCACTGCTGCAACTACTTTGTAGCCAGGATCTTACAGCTTGGAAAGCTATTGTCCGTATTCTCAGAGCTAATGCGGTACGCACTCTACGAAGAGATACCGGTCCCGAAGGAGGACGTGCCTCCAGAGAAGCAGATCCCTCCGATCCCAGCGTACGAGCGTTACGCTACCATCAGCAAGACCGCGCGGGAAGTTCGCAGAGATCGGTACGAAGCGAAAATGCAAAAACTGGTGAGAAAGCTCATGTAACTTTTGTTTGAAACATAAATTTTTATAGGCACCTTTATTAAGCTTCAACCACACCAACGCGTGCAGATCGCCATCGCCGGCGCGATCATAGGCCAATGACAAGTCGAGCGGACTGTCATGGGTTACAACCAGACAGTCCCCGATTTATTGTTGAGAGTAGTTAAGAAAATTATGTGTCAACTCATATTTTCTTAACTGCTCAAAGTAGGCAAATAAAATTAAAAAACCTAGACTTCTGGAAAAATTGATTCACTCCAAAGGTTGTCAGTATGTAAAGTAGTCATTATTGTATCAATGTGATGTTGTAGCGAGAAGAGCAAGAAGAACGTGACCGGTTGGCAGCCGAAACTGCTCGTTTGGCCAGAGAGGCTGAGGAAGAAAGGCAGAGGGTTGAGAAACAGCGGCAAGAAGAGGAAAGAATGGCAAGAATCCAGGCTGGGGTAAGCTTTTTTCGTATAATTATACCCCTACTATAAAACAAAACGAAACGAACTATAAAACAATAGACATTGTAACTATTATAATGCTGTTTATTGCTAAATAATGTTAAAATTTCAACAGCTTCCAGCTGATCCTGAGCCGGAAGAAACTGGAGAAGAAGGCGAAGGTGAAGAAGAAAAGGAAACCGAAGGCGTGGTAAATATCCATCAAAATAATAAATATGACTCCAAAATTTGCGAAATAAGGAACTCTATACACCTGTTGGTAGATTGATTACACGGAAAATATTTTGGGAATTTTTTTCCGAATTATTCGGAAAAAGTAAGTTCTCTGAAATCAACGATACCCCATCGGCTTAAAATTTATTCAGTCTTGATGTCGAAGTATTTACATATAGCTATAAAAAGTTGTTTGGGTTGTGCTCTTTCTTTGTAAAAAGACTGAAAACCGCTTTTCTTTACAATATCAGGGGGAAGAGGCAGAGGATTTGGAGAAAGTCGAGGAAGAAGAGGAGTTCCATTCCGACGTGGAGGTGGAAGGCGAGGAGTACATTCCCCCAGGCGGGCTCTTCGTGCCCGGACTGTACTCGCCGCCCAACGAGTTTGCTAAGGCTAATGGACTGGCTTATTTTTTTCCAAAGGTTAAATCATCATAATATAATATTATTTCTTTTCGTGTACCGAAGAAGGCTGTCACATGCCACATTTAGAGAAATAATGTCCGTATCCTTTTTTTACTGTACATCATTTACAAATTCATTTTTTACCACTTTTTCACCATTTCGTCTTTAGAAATGTTCATAGCTGGTGAGTTGACTTAATGTTTTGCAATTTGGCATTTTGGGAAAAGGGAATTTAACTTCTGATTAAATTATCTGTGATGAACTTGGCTTCATTATAGATTGTCGGCAATACAACTCTAGCCTGTAGCCACATTTTCGATTCTATTCTTTCAGTTTCTTAAATTGGTAGTCTGATGGATGATGATCAGGCTACCAATTTGAGGGTCAGGAATTCGATTCTCGTCCACCCCTGAACTTGTGGTGAATGAATTATGTCCACCAGATAGTCCAAGAGGCGACGCCCATCGAGTCAGAGCACCTACCGCCGCACGTGCTCGTCATTTTCAACATCGACAAGCGCTACGACGTGCAGGAAATCATGATGCAGTACAAGGATGAGATGCTCAACGTGAGTCTATACAATAAATAAAAAAAATAAAACCGACTTCAAATGCGTGAACACAAAAAAAAACTAAAAATTAAAAATGTTCCTTATATAGCCTGACCAGGAACATAAAAACCCTGGCATAGAGGCGCGTCAATTGCATTTGATAGTGCAACACTGAGTACAGTCGTACCTGTGTTAAATTAATAGGCTAACTTTATGTATCAGGATTTAGGATTACGGGCTAATTTGATATTTTCATAAATTAACGAAAAAATATTATTATAGGTAACCTGGTTTAAATAAATTAAATGAAACCATCAATCGAGCTAGTAGGATTTATTTTATTATTCATCAATAATCAAATTCAGAACTTGAATATTCAACTGCAATGTCTGCTCATGAACGCTTCAAACTCGGTACTTCTTTCCCAATTCCATAAAATTCAACACTTAGAAAGTGACAAAAAAAATTAAAATAGGTAGTTGAAACAAACCACAGCTAATTTTCATAGTGGACTGTACTATACGATAAACATGTCAGTCAATTTGACAACCTTTGTCGGAAACATTATTCAATGAAAATATTGTCCGAACCCTTAGTATTTCTCTTCGACAAATACTTTAACACATTGTGAACCACTTTTCTTTGACGACTATAAAAAGATTTTAGCAATTTAATTCACGAAATCAATTGCGCACATTTAAAATAAAGTTTGTTTACACTTTGACAGCAATAGACTGACATACAAGGTGACATGTCAATGAAGTTTTCAGTTACTGTTGCCATTAAAAGAAATTAGTACCATTAGTTTTCCGCAACATGGCGAGGGTTTTTATGTTCCTGGTCAGGCTATAAAAAAGTTCATCCCCAATTTTCCACCCTTGGGGGTGAAATATTTTCTTCAAATTCGCATGAAACCACCCTTTTGATAATACCTATTCAACAAAAAAATAATCGTTCAAATTGATTTATAATCGGCGGAGATATTGCGTATAAAAAAGTTCATCCCCAATTTTCCACCCTTGGAGGTTGTTTTTTCTAGTATTAAATTTAAATGGGACCACCATTGAGGTATTACCTATACGCCGAAAAAAGATTTGTTCAAATCGGTTCATAATTGGCGGAGTTATCGCGTAACAAACATAGAAAAAAAAAACATACGGGTCGAATTGAGAACCTCCTCCTTTTTTGAAGTCGGTTGAAAAATAACGGCAATAGTAATCTTCATCATCATCATAATTTCAGCCATAGGACGTCCACTGCTGAACATAGGCCTCCCCCAATGATTTTCACAAAGGCCGGCTGGTAGCGGCTTGCATCCAGCGCCTTCCTGCTACCTTTATGAGGTCGTCAGTCTACCATGTGGGTGGACGTCCTACGCTGCGCTTTCCGGTCGTCTTGGGTAATTTTAAGTACCCAAAATGTCTAGCTGTATCGCCTTTACCTATTTTTCTTTCTAGAAAGCTTCAAAGTTTTTTTATTTTGAAAATCTACAAAACTACATTTTTAAAGTTGGTTTGGCTTAAGAAAGCACATTGTTTTTTTTTCCTTTTGTAATTATTGTACTCTCTTTTAGCAATAACTTGATGTTGATTTCAGTACGGCATATTCGTTGGGGACGACCCCAATACAGCGGAACACATAGCTTTCACTATAAAGCAGTATGACAAAATGGAGCGATTACGAAAGCAGTACGTATTGGTTTATTATGTTTTTGTTTACATAAACCATTTTTTCCACGTCAATTCCCAGACTCCAAGGATATCCTGAGTCCCTTAATTGGCGTTCCATAACTCCCCTAGTTAAAAATGCCTGCACATTTTCAAAGACCGTATTCGCATGTGATGTCAACTGCCTGTTACTTAGCCCTTTAGCTTAGCCAATTGCTACCTGGTAACCACGTGAATAAATAACCAGTGATATCTAGCAGAAACAAACAGTATTACCACCAGCGCATGCTTTTATGATCCTTATTACCAACCCAGCAAAGACCGCCTTGCAGTGATGGTGTCCCGCAAGCGGAGTCTTCCGCTCCTGAAGCTAGCAGGACTGAACCCCTGCTACATCTGCACCCAGCAGAAACAAATAGTATTACCACCGCCAACGCATGCTTTTATGACCCTTACTAGCTTTTGCCCGCGTCTTCACCCGCGTTAAATTTAGTTTGTCACAGATCGTCATAAATTAGAGCCTATGTTATTCTGGGTTATAAAACAATAATACTGTAAGGTTTCATAAAAATCCGTTTTAGTAGTTTTTGCGTGAAAGAGTAACAAACATCCAGACATCCATACAAACTTTCGCATTTACATAAACATGGTTAGATTGGTGTTAACTAAATTAACACCAATCTAACCATGTTCTTGCAAATAAATGATTTTATTATTTATTATATTATTATTATTATTATTTATTATTTATAATATTAGTAGGATTATAATCCCAGCAAAGACCGTCTCGCCGTGATGGTGTCCCGCAAGCGGAGTCTATCGCTCCTGCAGCTGGCAGGTCTGATCCCCTGCTACACCAGCATTAGTGATACTTCCAGCAGAATCAAACAGTATTACCACCGCCAACGCCTGTTTTTATGACTCTTAAGTCAAAAGTTAAAGTCAAAATTTCTTTATTTGTTTAGACTAATAAATAGTAGGCTTACAAATCGTCAAATATTTTGCTCTTAAGGAGCTTTTACATGTCTCATAATCTTTTTACCCTACCGCTTCGAGACCAACATTTGGCAAGTGCTGAGAAGAAGCGCCGCAACAAAATCAGTCACCACTGTCTGCAATAAATAGAAATAGCAGTAGTAAGTAGGATTATTGATTCAGGAGCAGTTCACTGAATTTACCACGCATTCTCGTATGGTGTATCTTATAAGAATACTCTTATTACGATCCCAGCAAAGACCGTCTCGCCGTGATGGTGTCCCGCAAGGAAGTCTTCCACTCCTGCAGCTGGCTGGTCTGAACCCTTGCTACATTAGCACCAGTGATACTTCCAGCAGCAACAAACAGTATTATTACCACGGGCAACGCATGCTTTTATGACCCTTATTATAATCCCAGCAAAGACCGTCTCGCCGTGATGGTGTCCCGCAAGCGGAGTCTTCCGCTCCTGCAGCTGGCGGGTCTAAACCCCTGCTACATCAGCAGCGACGTGGAGTCGGGCGAGCGCGACTGCCTCACTATGTTCCCGGTGGGGTATGGTGACGAGTATGAGGAGGAGGAGAGCATTAAGGAGGAGGAGATTGCTGTATGTGTTGTTTTGCTGTAGCTTCTGTACTATAGCATTGTTGTTTAGCTTACAATTAACCGATTCGTTGCGGATGGCACGTTTCAAGCTTTGAACGTGTAAAAAATGATCAAAGCACTGTTTTCTTTTCCACATGGCTGATGACACAGATGCGTGTCATCTAATCGTATGGCGTTGGGCACTGAACAGTGTCACTTCGTTTTTTCTTGACGCCACAGTTAGAAATAAGCGAAATTGGCCACCGCAATAAATCGGTTAACACTAGTCATTAAAATCTTGCCAGGCTGTCTCTACTCTTTGTGTCATAGTACATCGCTAACAAGTGCTAGGTAGAGGTTGACAGAATCAACCTACTTATTCATACCGTTCACCGACATGGAATGTTTTGTTGCTAATCATTGCACCATTATCTTTTCATGGAATTAAAAGGCACAATAGTGTAGTAAATCTTTTATATTTACGATGTTATATTCAACCTTTAATCTTTGATTCAGGAAACTGGGCCAGAACCTGAACCCGAGCCTCAGGTACGAATTGTCTTTATTTTAGTTATTTTTAAATACACAATTTGTAATAGTTACATTTAGTGTGCATGTGTTCATTTTTGTGTGCATTTTATTATTTACTATGCAATTCGCCAACAAATTAATATTTTTCAGACGGAGGAAGCCGAGGAGCCCAAAGCAGCTGATGAAGAAAATGAAGATGATGAGGAGGATTAGATTTTATGGCAATTTGTTTTCATTGATAGGTTTATTTTATTTTATTTTCCATTATCCTTTGCAAGAAAGGATTTTTNATAGGTTTATCTTTTGGCAAGATGGCTTGTTAACAAAACTTTATTAAAGAAAAGGGGAAAGAAAGATGGCGCTCTTTTCTTATGAAATTGAATAGATTAAGCTATTTATCTCGCTGCGCTTTTGTTCGCTGGTAATTCATTTTTACAGAATTTTTACAGATATCATTATATTAACCGCTTATTTAACAAATGAATTCCACTAAATGTCTTTGTCTGTGTATAATTGCAAACACTCGTATTCATCTAACTAGGGCAAATTATTTTTTTTAACGGGATACAAACTCGAAATGGCTACTGATATTTATTGATAACCCAGGCTATATGATTATACTTGTTTCAAAATACTCAGATTATTTTAAAAAAATGGACTCCTTTAATGTCTTACGAGTATGTCACCGAGAAATTGTGAACTCAGTCAGTTTATAATTTAATTCGTGAGATTGTAAACTAACAGTGGGTTAAGCGTGTACGNGAAAACTATGTGGGCTCTAGATCTGAAGCCGCTTTAGCGAACACGAAGTGCTCATACAATGCGGCGTATTTTCTTCCAGTCTTTAGTCAGGACTTTAGTCGAATTAAAACTCCTAGGATACGATGCTTTTTTGCATAATCGCAAGACTTCGTTCCAGTGTCGACCGAATGTTATCACGATGTATGTGGCCCAGGGGTTACCGTAGCCGCTAAGGTTTGAAACTTCTTGCTTAAAATATTGTAGTCTTTGGCATAGACTACGACGGTAGTCATGGAGATAGGAGTTTGTTATCTCGTGTCAGATGTAAATGGTGAAAAGAAAACTCATGATTCGTGTTATTTTTATGCAATATGTAGGTATTTTATAAAAGTGGAACCACGAGTGATCTCCAAAACCCATTCTATTATTATATACGATTCGGCTTCGATATCTATAATACAATAGGAGTTTATTTCATGTGTCAGGATATGCATAAAAATATCAAATTGTTAATACCGGCTGGTTATCCGACCAAATTCGAATGCATACAAAAAAGCGACGGATTCATACATATCGATGACCTTCCACATTGAGCGTATTAAACTTAAGCTGTTGTTAGTACAGTCGTGTTCAAATGTTTTAGGCAATTAATAAATATTTAGTAATATTTTAGATCAGTCTTTCCCAAAGTGGGCGATAACGTCCCCTTGTGGACGCTGCAGGCTTAAAGGGGGGCGGTAAGAGACCCAGAAAAAAAATCGGGACGTTATGTAGAAGCTTGGGAGGCGTCATCTACTAGGAGGACTCTTAGACACCGACTGAGCTCGACTCTTGACTACAAAAATGGGGGGCGCTAAAAATATTTTATTCTCAAAGTGGGCAGTAGACTAAATAAGTTTGGGAACCGCTGTTTTAGATGGTTAAGGGGCCTTACTAGGGGAAAACGGCAATATTGGATCTCTTTTCTATTTTCTGTTACTTAAAGATATTTCGCACAGAAATTTGTCAAAATTCCGGTATCCTTCCGTTTGGCCAAATTACTTTTCGCCAAATTTCACTTCGCAAACAACTTATCGCCAAAGTTTCATTTCCCAAATGAACTTTTAGCAACTGTACTTTTCGCAACTAATTCATTTGGTCAAATTATCATTTGGTAAAATTTTATTTGGCAAATTTTTATATAGCAAATGTTTTATTTTGCCAAATATTATATCCCAAATAATTTGTTTGGTCAAATTGACACTTCACATACTTACCCACCGTTACCCACAAATCAAAGCATAAGGCACATGATCATGGTTTTCACAAGAATTTTATGTAAAACAAAAAGATTGCAGAAAATAGTATGGTTGCAAAAGTAGGTATTGCAGAAAATAGTAGGTTAGGTTAGGTTAGAACAGTGACCCGGCCCAGAGTAAATCAGGCCGTCGTACCATAAACGCCATACATCCGGTGTTGGAGGAGTGGGTACGGCGGCAACATGGTCGTCTCTCTTATAGAGCGACCCAAATACTAACTGGCCACGGCTGTTTCGGCGACTATCTATTTCGGATAGGACGGGAGCAAAGTGCCACTTGCTGGCATTGTCGAGAGGGCACCGAGGATTCCGCGCAGCACACACTCGAAGTGTGCCAAGCTTGGGTGGCAGAGCGCGAAATCCTCGTGGAACAGGTAGGACAAGAACTCTCCTTACGGGCCATCCTGCCTCGTATGCTAGAGAGCCCAGATGCATGGCATGCGGTGCTCCACTTCTGTGAGGAGGTCATGTCGCAGAAAGAAGCGGCGGAGAGGGAGCGAGAGGCCTCGCCTGACGCTCCACCGAACCGTCGCCGACGTCCAGGACACCGCAGGAGACACTACCATCTCCATGCCCCCTCTTAAGGGTCCTCGGCCACTAGACACGGGGGTGTTTGGTGGCCGCTAAAGGAGGACCCGTGGCGGCGGCGCGCGCATGTGTTCACGCGCACCGTTAGCGAAGACCAAATGAAGCCAGTCGTCGCTTGCTCAAACAGAGCGAGCCACAGTCCGGGGCGGAGCCGCGAAAGAATGTCTAGGCCGTCTAGCTCGGACAATGACTCGCAGCTCCGTCCCAAAGACTTCGGGAGGACACCGTCAGGTTTTAGTAAGTAGGCCGATTTTTTCGGATTTTGAAGAAAGCTCGATTACTTGATATTTATAAATATTTTCATAAACATGTTTCTTTCACATATACGCACAAATCAAGAGCTACTCGTGTGTGTTTATTCTATAGGCGCACATATAACGGTTATTGAGATAGAGCATTCTGCAAAACGTTACCCTGGCAGGAAATGCAATATCTCGAAAACCTGAAGCCGCACAAATCACATTTTCAGCTCACATAATAGAACAAATATAAGCTATCTGCTCGTACACAGTTTTTCTCTTTCCGATCATTCGTTTAGAATTTTCCTGCTAGAACAACGTTACTCCAGCAGGAATCGTTTTTTTCGTTTTGTACCAAAACGACAGCACGCACTAATCTCTAATTCGGCGCACATTTACACCATGTTGGGAACTAATTATACGTTCTACTCATATCACTCTAGGAGCTACTTTCCAGCTGGAGTAACGTACACGGGTTAAGCTAAGCGTCCACATGTCGGTATCGTACGGATCGGACGTATCGCACGCAACGGATCGTAGTATTATTTATATGGAAACTCATATAACTGCGTCCACCTGTCCGCATCGTACGCACCGCACATCCGATACGATGTGTTTTATACAATGCGTCCGTTGCGTTCGATACCGACAAGTGGACGCTTAGCTTTTAGGTTTGGTTTTGTAATCTAAGTAACGTCAGATTATAATCTGATGGAGTTCACAAAATATTACGGTGACATCTTTCTGGGCATAAATGCAAATTGCAAGTGTAATCATTTGCTCTCCACAGGGTACAAACCCGCAACCGCAACTGATGTGTAAACTCAAAACCAGTTGTTTGATATTATGTTCGTTACATCGCTAATCCGATGTCTGTTTACGTCACTCCACGTTTAAATGCGAATTAATGGTGGTTTTTTGCGAGTCTGCGGGCAACATGACAGGGCTCGCAAAACAATGGGACTCGCAATTGTACGCCTGATCCCCTGTCCACTGTCAGTCCGCCGCAATGTGGTGTACCACAGACTAAGTGAGAAGTCCCATTTGTCTATGACATCCATAAATATATAGAGAGATGTCAACTAATGCGCTGAGTTCGAAACTCAGTGTCGCATTAGAAATTGACACACAATGTAATCAAAATATGTGCTCATTATCCACTGCGGTATCAGTACTCAACGTTCGAATAAATTTATAGTACTACGCAAGCAATGTAAACTGTTTAAATTATGAAGTCTGCAGCAATGTAGTCCGTTTTGGGCTTATTGATGCTACGCCGGCCCCTCCCCCTTGTCACATCTCCCAATGACATAATTTACTCTAGGAGTATCTTGACCTTCACTGATTGGCGGTCAAGCTGTAGATCCTGGCTACACAGAAGTTGCAGCGGCGGGAACGAGAGGTGGGAATAGTCCCGTTACTCTATCTTCCTAAAATGTCGTAATAAAGAAGAGCAGAGCCTCCTGCCACAGTATACTCATTTGTACCAGCTGGATTTGTTCCAGCTTTAAGTAGGTACATTATTTTGTTTCGGTCGGCTCAGACTTTCTGTACCTAATTTGATTGTGGCCTTTGAAACTCATTGCATACGAGTACAATTAAATGTGTGACGTGTCCCACCAATTATTTTTGATGTCCGAAAAGGCTGTATCATGTTCGGTCCTGGCCAAGTGCGTATCGGACTACTAGAGGTTAAAGGTTCGACCCCCACAATTAAAATTCATACATAATAATCCGGGCCTTTTCAAGGCGAGAGTGAATAGGCACTTACAGGGCAGATATGTACCATCCTAGACTGCATCCCACTTAACACCAGGTGCGATTGCGGTCAAATACATGACTTTTATGCATAAAAATATTCTAATCTGTGTAATGTGTTACATTTAAAATAAATATGTGGACCTAGTACTTGTAATCCAAGCTTTGCGTAAGTTGTTTGGTGGGTATTTACTTATTATTATTTATGTGTTACAGCCTTTCCGGGATTCCCAGAGCTGGAGGCTGGAGAGAACCAAAGATCCAATCTTAAAATATCTAAACATTTGTCACACATGATATATGTAAATCGGGGTAGAAGATATTCTGCAGGATTGGAAATCCGCATGCCAATTTCGTTGAGGTCCGATGACAGTTTAGCATTCCCCTGTGCCTTCCCTTGGGCTTGGGTTTTTTGAGGTCAAGCTATATTTTATCCTGGATAACAGGAGTTGCAGCGATGGGGCTAAAAATAGACTAATACACCCGTATTCGCTTAAGTGAAGCAGCAAATCGAATGCACAGCGTTGAATTGTCTGTGATTGGTTCGTGTGTCACCCTGTGCGTCCACGCGCGATGTGAGACCTCATAAT